CTACAACGCCAAAACGTAAATACGACCCCCCCCTCCCAACAATGACCAAGTACGACCCCCCCCCTTTACAACGTCCGTGAAGCGAGAAAAATCAACTATCAAAATAAATTTTTCCCAGCCCAAATACGACCCCCTCTCCTGGCGGCCAAACGACCCCCCCCTATTGGGGATTCCCCAACAACGATGTGCCCTGCGGCAGTGTCCTTACTTCGTGATGGTGCGCAACGACGCTTGACGGCGCGCTTCGGCTAGGGCGGCGCCGATCGACTACGTCTCCGGGTGCATCGCGTCTATAGGATCGGAGAGCTGTTGCAATTCTAGCGCGCTACAGGGTGTTACAGCGATTCATCGCCAAGTCTGAACGCTGCCTAAGTACTCGGGTAATTCAGTAAAAGTGAAAGTGAACAGAGGAAAACTCGTGAAATACAGTCCGCTTACGCCATAAAACGGGTGACTTTACTCTTCTGAATTAATTCTTTCAGGCTAAAAATGCTGCGAAGACTGTATGTAAGTTTGTTTCAAAGGAGTTGTCCATTATTACGTCCAAGGTAGTAGCGTAGGTACATTTTTCTTACTCTGAAACTTAACCGAGCCAAAATTTTCCCAACTCCCACTCTTTTTTGATACCTAACGAACCCAACGTGAGACGTGCCTTGTTCGGGACATCTTCAACGACCTGATTAGTTTCTTTGCTGACATCATACTTATCACACGATCTAAGCATTTACCACATGACAAAATCATCTGGATGGTTTCCCTAGAAGCGCCAAGAAGAAGACCCTCCCCGTTGAGAATCTTCGGTCTTTCCTTGTTTATACTCTCGCCTTTTCTATGATCTATTCTGACGGCGTGAAACCCGCCGCCTTACATGTAGCTACACTAGCTCTATCTGTTCTGAAGGAATCTATTCAGCCGCTGAGCCAGCTAGCAGCACTGAAGAAATGAACAATCACCTGAAATCGGCCAAGGAGGTTCGGTTGGCATGGATGGACAGGAGTCCTGGACAACAGGTACATCATCTTTCCTGCATATATAGCCTCGGTTAAACTATCGTGCCCCTCCTAGCGCAATAGTGCTGTTCGAAGAGAGGGGCCGAAAACGGGTTTTCTCATCTTTCAAACATCGAAAGAGACACGTTCAAAATGTTGAGGCAGCGAAGTAGAACCCGGCCTGAATCCACTATCACTAGGCAATGGCATCCTTACGTGTCGAGTGCTTCGTTGTCAGTGGAAAAGGCAGCCCTTTGAAGGCGGGGCATTGGGCGGAGGCGTTGCATTACTTCATTAGAAGCTGGTTCCGCGTCAATCGCCACGAAAACGAAAACGCAAAAAATAAGATGCATTGGAGGCCTTCAGGACTGCGCTCTGAAGTATCCGAGTTTTTACCGCAGTAATTGGAAACTAACTATGAACGCTCTGAAGTATCCGAGTTTTTACCGCAGTAATTGGAAACTAACTATGAAGTATCAGTTGGTAAAATAATCGGCTCCCACCAACTGACGTATGAAAGAAAACGGCAAAAGCTGCGTAAGCTGCATAACGAAAAATATGCTAGCATACAGGCTAATGGTAGCCTCGAACAATTCGATCTCACTTCAGAACAAGCGAAGATGCAAGGCTACACTCCCTGACCCGAGAATAGGTGGGGCAGGACTGTGCACTCATGCGCACTTCCTGGCGTGGGATATTTTTCTTCCGGGAGGTGTCTAATGAAAACAACTGTCCTTTCTGTCTCGCGATGGACAACCAGGACCACAGCTGTCCTCAAACACAACTTTCCTCTAGAAAGCAGCCGCCGTCACGTTTAAACGAAATACGCTGCCACGCCCACTCCTCGAGGATATGGAGGGTACAACCAGTGCTGATGGGCAAATTGGGAGGCCTGCAAAGAATTCTTGTGTGCTTATATGTAGCGTTAACTTACTAGTGGTTCCAGGGTGTCAATCACTTGGTTGGTCGTTTCCGCGACAACCTGAAGTACAGATCAGCGACCGCCACTACCGTCGCTTCAACAGCTAACAAGGACAGGAACAGGTAAATTTCGAACCAAGTCAGAAGATGCAGTACCACCGACGGAAAGTTACTGGACGTGCTAACTCCTTGCATGGGATAGTCGAGAGGATTTCAGAATTATCTGAAGCACGGCTTAGAGGTCGTAGCGGTATGGGAGTCTTCTCTGGGGATCTGAAAAAGATTAAAGCATCTACTGTTCAGGGGTCGCTTCTTTCATCGCGAAAGCGCCTTTTGACACCCCCTGTTTCGTACTTGAACACTGCTGCCTCATTTCGCCATCCGTGCCCATAAAGGCAGCGGGCCGGCTGAGGGCGGGCGCTCACTGCCAAAGTCATTGGTGGAAGGGCTGCGAGAGGGCGTTTGGCCACACCCCACTCAGCCCTTCCACCAATGACGCTGGCATAAGTGCCCGCCCTCCGCCATCGTGCCCACTGCCTTTAAGGTGAAGCTGACAGCCGTTTTGCAATTAAGGTACCGTGATATTCCGTGCATCGACTCATCACGTGTAATTCTCAAAGGAAAGCAACCTGATTACATCAACGCAAATTGGGTTGTTGCCGCTTCTGGGCAAAAATACATTTGCACACAGGTAAGTTCCTCTTTTTTACTGCGAAGGTGAATTTCTGGGAACGTTACTGATGATGGAGCTAGTAACTCCGCCTTCCTCCCAGACACGGTAAGGGGTAAAATTTCGTAACAACTTCCGCGCACGCCTGTCCACCCAGCAGTCCTATCGTAATAGTTTGTATCAGCTGGTGACTGGGAAGGTCAAAACTTTGATTTGTTCCTAGATTGATCCATGCAATTTTGCAACCCAAAGGGTGATGATTGAAGTTGTCAAGTGACGCGTCTATAAAGAGAGAATGTCTAAGTGTACCTAGGAAAGGCCTTTGATTGGACCCCTCCAGCATCAGTTAATTGCACTCGTAATAAGGCCAAAAGACTTTGTGTTGGAAAGAGTCCAGAAAGATAATTCCTTATTATAGCCCTTTGATCCCAAGGCAGTGGAGCATCCACTGCATGCTTCTTAGAACCGCTTTTAACTGGGAGGGATACCTCGAAGGCAGAGTCTGAAGGCGGAGTCGCCGGAAAAGGGGTGGTGTCACTGGCGCTCTTCGTCAACTTCGCACCTCAACTCCTGTACCTTACAACTTTCCGCCACAAAACTATTACAAGTTGTCCGTTGTGGACCACATTTACCTTGCCCACAGGATCTTTTGCATTTTCATGGCCACTGCAGACCTGGTTTCTTTAATGCTGGTAATAAATCTATTAAAAAATCAACACTACGTGACATTCAGTGATGTTTTGAACGTCTTCAGGGCCCTATTCCTTCGACTGTACCCGATTTCTGGCAAATGGTTGTACAAGAACACTGTTGCACTATAGTTATGCTATGTAGACTCGTGGAGTGTAAGTCAAACTTGAAGCAAAGAACGGTCTGTGGGGACTTTTCTCAAGGGCCAGATGCTGCGAATTGTAGTTGTGAGAAAACCCACCCTTGTGAGCCCCCACAATATATATAATAAGTCATCGTTGCTAGTTTGACCCTCGGAACACTACTACCACGTTCCAATCACCAACAAGGTCCTGTGAGAATGCGCAATATTGTCATTTACAACGCCGCTACAGTATGAGTTTCTGCATCCCAGTACTTCTGTTTCTAGTGCACATGGCAAGGGCGTTAGGGACGTATGTTGCCTGTAATAAGAAGTACTGGAACTGGAGTAGGACTTAAATCGCTGATAGAAGAAAAAGTAAACAGAGTTACTGAGAAATGCATGAGCAGGACCTCTTTGTTGTAGTTATGTAGGTTGTACGGACTCATCGTGAAGATACGCTGAACATAAACGCCCAGACGAACAGGCTGTGCCCCTGGCCAACAGGTTCTAGCACGCACAGTCCTGTATTTCGTTAAAAGTATCCAAACAGGGCACGCCAATCGTTGTGATGGGAGAGATGCACAACGGAGTTCGTATTGACGCGCGAGGGAGGTCCGTATTTGATTTCTTTCCGATAAATTTCTTACTTTGACATGTTGATTTCTCTTGTTTCACGGACGCTCTGGAGGGATGGGGAAGTCGTATTTGGTCGTTGTTGGGAGAGGGACTGCTAAAGATCTTTACAACTACTTTTCCTTTAAAGTTGACAATGCGTACTTGAAATCCTGATGACTCTTCCCTCCCCCTCCCACCCTCCGCTCGAGAGCAAATTTGGGGGGAACACGCAGGATAGGGGGAAACAGAAGGAATTTTTGTGTCTGGAAAAAATCCTGGTTATAGAGGAGGGGAAAATCTAGAAAGTTTTGTGTTTCACATTGGAAAACCTCCGCCCTTCCCCTGTCGACGGAAATAATTCTGGGCTGACCAAACTGGACAATTTTTCAGGAAAACCGATAAAGTGGTAGGAAGTCGGGAAAATCTAGAAAAGAGTAGTAGCATGGGGAGTGGCGGGTCTTATTTGAGGAGAGAATAAGGGGGGGGGTCGTATTTTTTCATTAGTGATCAAATGCGTTGCCCTCCATCCCAGAATAAATAAATCCTCTCAACGACTTGGGAACTGTACTTTCAATGCAATCTTTTGATAACTGATAATCCTTTCAGATGGAAAAGATAAATGCGCACCATATTTTCCATAACAGAGATAAGAGAAACCTTTGAGGATATTGGCACACAATCTCACTTGAAGCCCCCAGCTACGAACTTCACCGACTATGGAAACATTTATACTGAGTGGGCAGTGGTGCGATAAGTTAGTTGATTGTTAATCGTACACCCATTGAAACAGTCCAGAGCACATCGTTGTTTGGATAGAACTCCAAGTAAGGGGGGGACGTAATTTGGCCCCGCCAAGATGAGGGGGATCGTATACTTGGGCTCGGAAATATTTTATTTTGATAGTGATTTTTCTCGCTTCACGGCGTTTGTAAGGGTTTTATTTATCTTCTCGCGCACTTCTATGGAGTGGGAGTGGTGGTTGAGTTCTCGTGATTTTTCTGTCTCATGCGTAGTATATACCACCTCCCCCCTCCCTCCCCCACGGCAGCAAAATTTTTGGGGAAAAGTGGGAACTTTTCGGGAAATTTTGGAAAAAATGGCAGGAAGTTGGGGAAAATCTGAGAATTGGTAGAGGGGGGGTCGTATTGTCTCGCGACTTTTCCTGTTTCACATGTGCTATTCACCCCCCCCCCCCCCCGCTCGGCAGCTCGATTCGATGAGGAGCGACCAGAGGGTCGGATGGTGTGCACCTCATTGCAAATGGCCAGGCTGACCTGTTGACCTTTCCTAGTTAGTGGGAAAGAACACAGTGGCTCCCGTCTCTACTAATGGGCGAACGATAATGTTCTTAATGCACCAGCAGAACTGACCATGTTGTGTTCCAAACGCCACATCGGTTGCGCTAGTGTGTTGAAAATCTGAAACCAGAAAATCTCAACAAAGACATAGAAAATAATTCTTTCGTCACAGCGCGGTTCGGAACTTCTATCCTCAAAATACCAATTCCCCGATTGAATAATGTAGGGGTATGGTGTTCAGCTATGAGCCTGCAATCGCTAAGCGATTCTTCAGAGGTGAAAAAAGCAAACAAGGACCTCAAGAAACCATTCACATAAGACCGTCAGAACACGAGTTATCGCCTAGAGATCTAATTCTAGTGATACTATTTTCCTCTGTCGACTGTCAGTCCGTCAGGTCGCCCTGGACTTATTTTCACTAGACCGAGTCCATCACGATCTTGAGAAATAACTTTAATCCAATCTCATACTGTTGTGAATTTTCCTACTGTGTACATTTCAGGGACCGCAAATAAAATTACGGCACATCCAATGCACGAGTTGGGATGATCAGTCCGCTCCATCCAGTCCATCAGCTGTTATTGAAATTATTCGCGAGATGGCAAAGAATCCCACTGGTCATCCTATCGTCGTTCACTGTTCAGCAGGTGTTGGTCGGACATGCACATTGTTGGTGGTGCGATTCTTCGGCACTATTTACCCTTTACTGCCCCAGTCATCCGAAATCCGAGTGGTTCCCGACCGACTTTTTTCTCCGTGGGCAGAATTCGCTGAAAAGTTGGCTCATGGGTAGTTCGACCCGCTGAACACGAATATCGCATCCGCTTGACCCGAAACCTCCTGGCGCCCGCGCCACGGGCGCCGGCGCCAAAATACTCGAAATCACCAAAATCCGCTGAAAACTTGCTCCCAGGGTAGTTTCGACGCCGCTGAGACACCCGAATATGCGCATGCCGCTTGACCGCGAAACGTCTGGCCTCGGCCACGGGCGCCGGCGCCAAAATACTCTGAATCACTAACTGGCTGAAAGGTTGTCAACTGGGGTGAATTGACCATGTGAACAAGAATTTCACATTTGTCTTGCATGAGAAATAGTATTCGCTCTTATTTGTGAAATAGCTAAATGAGGAGCAAAGGGGCTTCCCAAGTTAATAGGTCAGTTTTGAAGAAGTCACCACGAGAAACACTCAATCCGACACGATCCGTGAAATCCCCATTCCCACGAGCTTGCGTTGTGAATTAGAAGCAAAGAAAAACAAACATGGGAAAGGAATACACTCCACAACACAGATGATCCGTTTCGCTCGGTATCGCAGACGAATCATCATTGTCTAGCCAACCCCCGAGCATCATCAGTGCGATAGGTTGAAGACAAGAGGACATAGACTACATAGGGGAAGGTGTGAGAAATAAACAAAAAAGAGAGAGATTGTAAAAAAGGGGGTAACATGCAAAGTTCATGCATCAAGATGATGATGAATTATACTATAATACGAAGTGTGCTGTAAATACTTGTGGAAGGAAGGGAAAAGGAGTAAACCGGCAAAACCACTGAGAGAATGTTGAGTATAAGAGAAGGTATACCAGAAATAAATCAATTAAAGAACAGTGGAAAGAAGGGAATTAGTGTTGATCACTGCTGCAAATGAGTAAACCTGTGACTAGTCTATTTATCTTTCTATAGTTATTTGCGATTGAGTACTTGTAACTTATAAATTTATTTTTATAAATACACTTAACAATGCTAGTAATAATAAAATCTTCCTCGTAGCCATTTTTCAAAAGAGTGGTGATCATATCCGTTATTTTGCTAACGAAAGCGTTGAAGAACGAACAAGAGAAAAAGCTGGGCGTGCGCGGCAGATTTTCGAAGAAAGCGTTTGGTCATCGCATTTTCATGCATTATGAATGGATTTTGTGATTCAAGGGGTCAAACTAGCGCCCGGGGCCGCGCCGCCCGGCCCGGGGCGCCGCGCGCGCCGGCCGCGGCGGCGCGGCCCCCGCCGGGCGGCCCTGGGAGCACCGTTCAGGCAAATTTGTGCATTTCGAGTATTTTGGCAGCCGGCGCCCGTGGCGCGGGCGCCAGGAGGTTTCGGGTCAAGCGGATGCGATATTCGTGTTCAGCGGGTCGAACTACCCCTGGAGCCAACTTTTCAGCGAATTCTGCCCACGGAGAAAAAAGTCGGTCAGGAACCGGCCTGATTTCGGATGGCTGGGGCAGTAAAGGGTAAATAGTGCCGATTCGCAGTAAAGGGTTAAATAGTGCCGGATTTTCTAATAGTTTCAATGCGCGTCATTTACAGTTAGTGAAAAAAAAGTACAAAAAACCAAAGGTGGTATGCCAAGGTTTATCGAGAGTCACACATGGCGACAAAAAATACAGCGCAGAAACTGAACTCGGGACAGACAATAACTTCTGAGTCTTGGTGGGCGGGACAACTAGGGAGGCGCCAGAACTACGAAACTATACTTCTTATATATATATTTGCTCTGTTGTTTGTTGTTTCGTTTGTCTTGTTTGTTTGTGTGTTAGTTAGTTTTGTTTGTTTGTGAGTTTGTAAGTTTGTCTGTCCGGAAATTCGGTTCGACCTGAAGAACGACTTGGAGAGGTCGGGTCAAGGTGGGGATGGGTAGGGCATGGGACAAGAAATAAAAAGCACACATGACCTATGGGAAGCCCCGCCCACAGTGGGCGGGGCACCCGCCTGAAAGTTTTGTTGGAAAGTTTGGGGTTCCGCAGAAAAATGTTCATAATTCGCTTCCGGAGCAGCCTAAAGATGGGGAAAAAAGGGAATAAGGTTAGTAAGGAGTCGCCAGACTAACTGTGGCAGACACATCCAAAATGGGCGGGGCGTACTCAAGGTGGGCGGTGCTTCTCGCAAAATTCAGTAACCCGGTTCGCGAGAGTGTTTGGAAGTCGCAAAAAACTCAGTGTAGAATGTAAATATCTGGCGAATATAGGGCACGCTCAAAGTGTGTTGAGACCCGCCCACAGTGGGCGGAGCTTGCCCTAAATCGCAGGGTATTCATTTTAAAAGTTTGTAGCTCGGTTCCAGAACACTCCAGACACCGCAAAAAGTGTTCTAAGGTCAGCAGAGGGTCGCCGGTGGGGATTGTGGGGCAAAAACATTGTGGGCGGGGTCTGCTCTGAGGTGGGCGGAGCCAGACAAAAGATCGGCAAAACGGTTCCAGAGCACTTTGAAGACCGGAATAAAGTGAACTCAGGTCAGCAGAGGGTCGCCAGTGAGGATTGCGGGGCAAAAACATTGTGGGCGGGGTCTGCTCTGAGGTGGGCGGAGTCAGACAAAAGATCGGCAAAACGGTTCCAGAGCTTTCCGAACCGGAATACAGTGGATTAAGGTCAGCAGAGGGTCGCCGGTGAGGATGTGGGGCAAAACATTGTAGGCGGGGCCAGCCCGAGGTGGGCGGAGTCAGACAAAAGATCGGCAAAACGGTCCCAGAGCACTCCGAAGACCGGAATTAAGTGGATTAAGGTCAGCAGAGGGTCGTCGGTGAAGACTTTTGGGCACAAACATTGTGGGCGGGGCCTGCTCCGAGGTGGGCGGAGTCAGACGAAGAATCTGTAAAATAGCTCAAGAGTACTTCAGACACCGGAAAAAGTGGAGTACAGAACAAAAGGCGGATATCAGTTGAGTGTAGAAATATGTGAAAAGAAATACGCGCGGCGAAGGCCGCGCCCCGAGCGACCGGCGCAGACCGGGCCGTATCAGAAGAGGCACCCGGCGTTAGCCGGCGAGCCGATGGTTTACTATAAGGGCGCAGCGCTATCGTCAACGTTCTGTGAAGTCTCCAAGTGGTACACCTCACAGAATTGAGAGCCAAGACTGGTTGGTAAAAAAGGACATCTACGAATTGCTTGAGCGCTGGGATTTCTTTGAGGAGGAATGAGGAGGAAGGGAAGTTGATCTGTGGCCTACCCAAAAGAACTTATATTTCTCTCACCCCCCACTCCCATATTCCGACCTTTGGGGATCATATCCGGCAAAGATCATGAAACCCTGAGAGGTCTGATCCCAAAGATAAAAAATTATGATGAAAAAAGCTATAAAGAAGTGCCTCGACTTCCGGATAACCAGGTACTGAAATGGATAGTACTTAGTTAATTTCAGAGTTCCTTTTCTGCATAGGATTCTAGAATTTATTCCTCCAGGAAGTCTGCTGCTGCTGGAGAGAGTTCGGAAAGGTAAAGATGCAACTGGTGCTTCTCTGATGCGGTGGCTTCGGAATCGTCGTTATGGCGCAATCCAAAAAGGGATACAGTTCGTGTTTCTGCATCGCCTCACCATCGAGATGTTATGCGAGGTTGTCGAAGAATTGTTCCCTCATTGAAGACACATTTTGCCACTGGACAGGTTGAAGTAGGTAACCAGATCCTGATTTACAGGTACTAGGCGCGCTTTTCGGGAAATGAGTTTGTTGAAAACGTGCGTAAGGGCCCCGACTCGTTCCTGGCAAACGTCATACTAGGCACTGAGGGCACATCATTAGTCGGGGATTTTGGTCGCGTTTGTAGGACCCCTCCCACTCTAGGGTGGCTTGATACAACCTCCTCCCCCTAGTTCACTCCTGTGATCGAGCTCGCAAGCAGCTGGGGTGGAACATATTGTGCACCTAAAGTGGGGAAAGTTGCGAAAATATGACCCTCTCTCCCATCTTACCCTTCTTACCTACCATTTTCTTAGACCTTCCTCAACTTCCCCCAAGTTTTTCCGAAATCTCCGGAAAATTTTCCTACGGGTTTCCCCAAAATTTTGCTGTCGTACGGGGGCGGGGTGGGGTGTATGGCACGCGCATATAGAAACTGGAAAATTCCGAAACTTCCACAACCGGCCGAAAAATTTTTTGAAGCACCACAAAGGCAAACGCGACTCCCCAGCAACGACCAAATACCACGACCCCTTTGTAGCGTCTGCGAAACAAGAAAAAAAGAACTATCGAAAAAGTTACTATTTCTCAGACCGAATACGCGCTCCTCCCCCTCCCAGCGACCAAATACGATCCCCCTCTTGGGGAATCCCAACGATGATGTGCCCTGAGTGTAGGTATCAGTCTAGCGTATGTCAACGTATGCCAGCATCCACCAGTAGTGAGAGTCTGGGGAAGTAGGAGGGTAACACTCCTGTTGGACGTTGGCGTACGCTGACGCAAAGTATGAAAGCAGCCTAAAACGAACTGTAGTCGCGAAATGTGCCTTCAAGAGCCGCATTGCTTCATCACGGAAGTATGTGAAATACATTTACCCCTAAGATGGTTCAGGAAGGTGTGAAGAAAAAAAGTGATGAGAAAGTGGTCAAATTCGATGGAGAATATCAAAAATTACTAACGAAACAGAGGCGAATCCTGGCAACGGTTATGGAGCAGAAAGCTAAGTTGTTACCGGCTCCGAAACCTACACCTGCGAAAAGCGCAGCCAGTGAAATGGAAGTTTTGCAAACACAAATGGACGATGATGAGGATCGAAAAGTAAAGAGTCTAGATACAGCTGAAGAACTAACGAAAGCTGTGGAAGATAAAGTCACAAGTCAAGTGACTATGGTGGAATGCTTTAACGAGAAGGAAGATCTGCCATTTTCTGATTATGCAGAATTTCTGTGAACAACATTCGTCAGTTGTATAGTAGTCACTCAGTGCTTAACTTAATTTCTGACCATAAAGTAATCCTATTCTGTCAAATAGCGGAATAACTTACAAATTGTAAATAAATAATTATTTCTTGTCGAGTGTTTTGTTCGAGAATTCCCAGATCTTCTTAAATTTAAAGACATACTGTATGAGGGGAATCATGGTTGACGGTGCAGATATCAAGCAGGTGCTGTCAACTAGGACTCGTAGAGAAAGCGGAGATGAAATTTCAAATGCGCTCTAATCAAGACAACCCTAATTTGACGAACGAGTTTGCCAGCGCATGGTCGAGTTTTCCTGGCTCGATTCCTTGGCAGCAGCTACTTGAGAATCCAAAGCTCGTGCTCACTTTGGAGGACTCGCTACATCATTCATTTGGCTCGAGCAAAAGAATTAATTTGGTAAACACCCACTAATATTGAACGGGTCTTCTGGTTATCAATTACACCTTCCCATGCCATTGCCTAAAACTTTCACGTGGCAATTTGTTTGGTTATGGGGATGAATGCTTTGTGAAAGGGAGAGTGCCAGCTTTCAAGTATGACCTTGAGTAAGAAACATTCGATGTTGACGGCTCTGAAGTGGGATGCGCTATGCACCATGTCACCATTCAAAATGGCCACTACTCTGCGATTTGATCGCCTGAGAGTGATGGACGAAACATACGCCGGAACATGGAAAGCACGGTTGCTCAAAGGCAATGGATGGGTACGTTGGCGTGGAGGGGGGGGGGTTACTGCCGGCGTCACCGGTGGAAGTGTTGCGAGAATGCGTTTGAACATACTCCTCTCAGCCCTTCCACCAGCGACGCTGACAATAACCACCCGCCTCCAGCTGTCGCGCCCACCGCCTTTGAAGGGGAGAGGAATCGGTTGAAAAAATATGCAAAAGAAATTGGAAGGCAGCAAAGACATCAGCATAGGAATGAGAACCCAACCTCATTTTTGAGCGCTATTATCTACAGCCGTACTTTAAAGGCAGTTGGCACGATAAATCCCTAAGGAGTAGGATTGGTATGCATGGCAGTACGGAATTGTGCGACTATGAGCAGGCGCTGCGTGGCGCCTTTTAAGAGGAAGGTGCCCTTATAAGGCCCTATTGAGCTACAACATACCGACCCGAATGCCCACCACGCCCGCCCGCCCACAAATGGACGACCGTTCCTGATGCTCGTATTGCTTCATTTGCAAAGTAAAATATGAAGCGAAGGGATTGGTATGAAGCGGCTGCGGTGCTGCATGGATATATGAGTAAATATGTGCAGCCGTATCTACCGTAGCGTTACTGACAAGATGCCTACGGGAAACTCGTCCAAAATTGCTCTTTGAGTCGTGAAGAACGAAGGCTTTTCTTCGCAGTTTTTTTGACCGTTTCACTTCGTTCTTTCGCCATTTTCCCACTATGTAGGGACCTGCTAGACTTTTAAGGCGAGTACCAAATTATGGTACCAATTGGAAGTGTATATCGGAAATTTGTGATTTGGAGTTTTCCATGCTGTCTGAAGGGGGAGGAATCATACCACGAATGCGCATCAAGAGTCTCGTTTTCCCCCCGGACTTTGTCGGCTACTATCGTCCGATCTGTACCTCGACCGCTCACTGTTTGTTTACAGTATGCTCATACGATGCTCAAATTAGTAGCGGAGGCAAGGTTTTTTGAGAACCTAATTTTCTCAATTTTGCCAGAAGAGATTCTGAGATGGAACCTTGCTCGCCGTGAAGCCTCGACTTTTCGTCTCCCTCGAAAGCCCAAGATTCCACCGATTGATTCCACCCTAACACTAACATTACTAACAACAAATGGAAGTTGAATCCAGTGATTCAATCGTTGGGCGTTGGACATCATGAAGAGCGATCAGTTGTGATACAGTAGCCGAAAGAATCGAGTACAGTACTAGTGCTCAATGGGATCTTGGGCCCCTGAAGGAGGTGAAAGGTTGAAACGTCAGGCCGAATAAGGGCTTCATTCCAGAGCTTCCATTGACGAAGTTAGAACAAATCAAATTCGAAAGGTGGACCTTTCAATATAAGCTGTTTTTCGTTTTCAGTGAAACGATTACCTCGTAAAAACTCGAGTCTGCACTCCACTAAGCAGGTCTTTGTGTCGTGGAATGTGCCTCTGAACAAACCCGATGGGCTTCCCTTTCGCGTGGAATGAGTGCTTGACCTACGTGATACCGTATGATACCGTAAAGATATGGGTAGAAATGATCTTTAAATACCATTGCTATTGCTAGTAGCAGTCATTGTTACTAGATCTAACCTACAACTCACACATTCTAGTACAGTCGGTGCTTGCATGGAAGACGCGACTCAGCGACCAATTCACGACAAAGTAAGTACGCTTGCAACATCGTTTTATTCGGAATCTGGCTACTTATATGGAGTGGTTCTGCAGTTAGAGACGGACTGTACGCTCACCTTTGAGAACAGTCGTTTTCATGTACGGGCAGGATGGTCGCAGCTGCAACTGCGTGCCTTTTTCATTGCTCGACGATGCAGGAAAGCGGGCTGGAGAGTACTGATATTCAGTGCCGGTTCCATACCAGGGCACAGCATTTGATGGGGATTTTGGTCGAGCTTTTACGACCCCCCCCCTTTTTTCAGGGGCTGGTACGACCCCCCCCCCATGCTCGTACGATGGCTGACTGTGGTTGGTGGTTTATACTCGGCGAAAAAGTTGTCGAGCGGGGGTATGTAGTAGGCATGCGACGTACATCGTACGGGCGTACATAGTACCTATAACACAGAAAATTCAGCGAGAAAAATCAACTATAAAAATAAATTTTTCCCAGCCCAAATACGACCCCCCCCATAGGGAATCCCCAACCAATGCTGTGCCCTGTTCCATACTCCGCCCGCGCTTTCAGGTACATCTTTTGCGGTTAACAAGGTCTCTTAGCGAACACATACTCAGCGGTAGGGAACAATTAGGAGTGAGAGGGCGCAAAGGAAGCATTGCGATCGGCTATGATACGCGACAGCGCGAGAGAGACTGTGGAGTTGGCGCCCGGGTATCACCATCCTTCATCCTCGTTCCGTGCAGTTTTGAGCGGAGCAGAACAACGTGCTACTGCAGTCGAAAATGGAAGTTAACACTGAATAAAGATAGGGAGCTGATTAGAGTTCAACGCTTTAATATACTAAGCATTCAAAAGTGTTGAGTTTAAAGGCATCTGGCACGATGGTTTCCTACTCAGCTAAAATGCTAGTAGGGCGCTGTATAGCGGGTGAAACCCTCTGAAACGGCGAAAGAACGAAGTGAAACGGTCAAAATCCTGCGAAGGAAAAGCCTCCGTTCTCAGTGACTTGAAAATCGATTTCGGACGAGTTTCCCGTAGGCATCTTACCAATCACCGCTACCGAAGATACGGCTGCATATGTGTACCATGCATGCAGCATCACGGCCGCTTCATACCAATCCCTTCGCTTCATAATTTGCTTAGCAAATGAATGAATACGAGCGTCAAATCCATTTGTGGGCGGGCGGGCGTGGCGGGCGGGAAGTTGTGGCTTGATAGGGCCCTTATAAGGGCACCTTCCTCGGGGAAACCGCTATGCAGCGCCTGCCCAGGGTCGCGGAATTCTATCCTGCCAGGAGTATTGATCCTAGTCGCCTTGGGGGATTTATCGTGCCAACTGCCTTTAAGCACTAGTACTGTACTCGATACTTTTCAGCACTTATCGGCTACTGTATAACAATTGATCGCTCTTCATGATGTCCTTAACCAACGCCCAACGATTAACTCACTGGATTCAACTTCCATTTGTTGTTAGTAATGTAGTGTTAGGGTGGAATCAATCGACGGAAAGTTGGGCTTTCGAGGGACGAAAAGTCGAGGCTTCACGGCGAACAAAGGTTCCATCTTGGAATCTCTTCTGGCAAAATTGAAAAAAATTAGAATAGACCAGGCATTGGAACAAGAATCAACCAGGGTGCGGAAGTCCTTTAGAGTGCTAGATTGCTGGAGCTTGTGGTCACAGCGGATATCCCTTCTTTGCGGCTCAAAAGCGAATGACAAAAGCGCGACAGCTCAGCAACGATAAGCTGACTCCGCCTAGGGCGGAGTCAACAAGTTCCACTTCGATCATTTTTTCATTACCACGATCGTTAGCGGTGATAATTGCTAATCTTATCGAATATGCCTTGGAGAATGAGTCGCAGCAAGTGGCGATTAGATTCAGAGAACTCGCCCAAAGTTTCGATTAACTCGTCCATTTTCAATCTCGTACATGAGGTCATTTTAGGGCATTTCCAGCGGCTTTTTTCTTTTGCTTTTTCCTTCTTTAGATTGTACTTGCAACATCACCTAATGGCTCCAATCCTGTGAAAGGCCATTGCGGGCGCTGTCTTTAACGTCACAGTCCATGCTTACCATGGGACGACACAGAGAACCGCGTTCCCGCTTTTCATCATGTAGAGGAGCAAAAGGGCCATGATGGATCTGTGCCACTGAAAGGCATCTCCGTCAATTAACGGGCTTCATGTTTCCTATTTCAGAATGAGAAACGAAGAAAGTCCGCCAACAGAACAGAAGAGTGAGTTTTTTTTACAATGTTCCTTTCAAACCTACCACTTCAGAATTCCGAAAAGAGAGTAGAACATCGAAAGAAGTCTCAAAAAAATTGTCCCAGGGTGTCAATATCCCAATACGATATATAATTCGCTGCGCTTCTCTCTGCCTGGAAATTCATAATGCCCGCTACGTGGTTTCCATGAAGTGGTGTAAGCAGTGACGGGAATACTATTGGTGATGATAGAACCTGGTAACAGCTGATAAGATTTAATAAGGGGAGTTAAAAGGGAAAGTTCATAGCGCGGATGGCAGCAACACCGGGATATGGTTCCAGGAAGTTGTATAGGGAAGGCTCGATCACATTGGTGGGTGAGAGGAAATGATGACAATAAGTGACCAGTGATAACTACAGTTAAAGGCTGATAGTGAGTGATAAGTTTTTAGGGCAGAGCAGCTA